GAATTTGGAAGGTGAAGACGATTGTGAAGCTTTTGCGCATGTCGAGAAAACTAATGCTAGAGGGAAGCATAAGAATAAGAAAAAGGCTCTGAAGCCACCACGGCCACCAAAAGGTCCTGCTCTTGATGCTGCTGATAGAAGGCTGGTGAAGGAAATTGCAGTAATTGCCATGAAAAAACGTGCAAGAGTCGAGCGAATGAAAGCATTAAGGAAGTCAAAAGCCGAGAAAACATCTTCCTTCAATAGTTGCATTCCTGCCATGATTATCACATTCCTGTTCTTCCTTGTAATCATCCTTCAAGGTTAGCTTATTCGAAGTTCGAGAAGGGTGTTCTTAGTGTCGTGTCCTTCAATCTGGTTATCAGTTTGTGCCTTCTTTTAGCATTATGTTCTTAAGGGAGTTTTATTCGACCGTGTTTACAGGAATAAGTTCCCGAAGCAGTCCGATGCTGCAGGGGTCACCTGAACCTGCTGTTGATGGTAGTAGCGGTTTCATTTCCGTTCAGTACATTAAAAGCTTTCCTCCAAATGAAAGCAATATGGCGAATCCCCCCGATGTTAAGTGCGTATCGTTAGTGAATGGTTATGGTTTATTGAATATAAGTTTCCAAGTATTCCTAGGCTAATTTCGTACCATCTTGTTGATGCAGTTCTGCTGCGTAACTCGTTTCGGGTTTTGTTCCTCTTTAAGGCGAAAAGGGTGGCTGGTTTGAGGATCTTTTTGAAGTTGATAGCCTAGGAGCCAGCTTGCTGGCTCTTATGGCCATGATTTTTGAATAGTTACTTCGATGCGCCGTTGCATCCGACTGATCTGTATATAAATACGAAGAAACATCGAATGTTTCGTTTTTTTTTTTTTTTTTTTTTTTTTTTTTGTAATCAGATGCTTTTATATCTTAATTTTGTCTTAATAATTTATATTGGAAAGTTCATGGTGATGTTCTTGGATGTAGGTAGCTGAACCTACTTAAAAGGTATAGCAGACAGTCCTGCTTGCTTCCAGGCTTTCTTTTGATGAGTTGAGTTACGAACTTTTTCCTTTTCAATTTAGCTAACAAACCTGCAGGATTATGATGATATGTTTGGATGATGCTTAACCCTCTACGCCTTTGATTTGCTGCTGGTAGATGATGTTCATGTCGTTCTTCGAGGATAAACAGGTACGATCGACCACTGGCCAATTGATTCTTGAATTTGTTAGATTTATGAGCATATCTCTCGAGTTTCAAATCAATGAATGTGAGATTCGACGTCGATTGGGGAGGAGAACTAAACATTCTATATAAGGGTGTGGAAACCTCCCTCTAGCAGACGTGTTTTAAAATCTTGAGGGAAAGCCTAAATAGGGCAATATCTCTGGTGGTGGGCTTGGACCGTTACAAATGGTATTAGAGTCAGATACCGGACGATGTGTCAGCGAGGACGGTGAGCTCCGAAGGGGGTGAACATTGGGTAGTATGACACGAAGGGGGTGGATCGTGAGATCCCACATCGATAGGAGAGAGGAACGAGTGTCAACGAAGACGTAGGGCCTCGAAAGGAGGTGGATTGTGAGATCCCACATCGATAGGAGAGAGGAACGAGTGTCAACGAAGACGTAGGGCCTCGAAAGGAGGTGGATTGTGAGATCCCACATCGATAGGAGAGAGGAACGAGTGTCAACGAAGACGTAGGGCCTCGAAAGGAGGTGGATTGTGAGATCTCACATTGGTCGGGGAGGAGAATGAAGCATTCTTTATAAGGGTTTGTAAACTTCTTCCTAATAGACACGTTTTAAAACCTTGAGGAGAAGCCCGGAACGGACAGCCCAAAGAGAACAATATTTGTTAGCGGGGGCTGGGCCGTTACAATGAAGCTTGGAAACTTTCCAAGATTTTAGGTACTAGACAGCGAAATGATATTGCGATTTTATGTTCAAGGCTAAGCTTGAGCTCTACACATAGGCTTTTGTCTTGCAGAGAAACAAAAGCTTCTGACTTTGACACCAAACTTTGTCTCTGTCATTTTCTTTTGTTAACCCCATCTTCATCTTTAGTTGTAGCCAATCTCATCATGGATTCATGTATGAAAACATCCTGTGTCGCCTCTACAGTGACGATCCTCGCAGCATAACAGCTGACACAAAAAGATTATTACTGAAATCGTTCTCGATGAGTCGTTAAATGTACAGAAATTTTAGCTCGGAGTTGTGCTTCATCAATTAGATGACTAATTCTGAGGCGAAGAAGGCGGTCCTGAGCAGATGATCTTCGGTTTCCTTGTGAAAGTCTTCACCGTGGTGGATGCATGCACTCTCATGTCTAGCTGCCTCCAGAGTGTTGACTTTTGATACAACAACCCGAAGCTCAATGTTGGCATCTTTCGTCGAAGGAATACAAGATTGCAACATCGTGGATGCAACTCAAGAGGTCGAGGCTTGTGAAGGAGCCATTATGAAAAAGGTCTATTTACATAATTAGGTAGTAATTGTGTAACAATTCAGATCTACCGCTAGTAGATATTGTCCTCCTTAGCTTTCCCTCTTGGGCTTCCCCTCAAGGCTTTAAAACGCCGGCTAGAAGAAGGTTTCTATACCCTTATAAAGGGCGTTTTGTTTTCCTCCCCAACCAATGTGAGACATCACAATTCACCTCCTTTGGGGCCAGCGTCCTTGCTGGCACTCATTCCTTTCAACAATCGATGTGGGACCGCCACCAAATCCACCTCCTTTTGGGGTCCAGTGTCCTTACTGGCACATCACCTCGTGTCTACCCCTTTGGAGAACAACTAGAAGGTTGACACATCATCTGGTATCTAGCTATGATACCATTTGTACGGCCCAAATCCATAGCTAGTAGATATTGTCCTCTTTGGTCTTCCCCTTTCGGGCTTCCCCTCAAGACTGTAAAACGGGTATGTTAGGGGAAGGTTTCCACACTCTTATAACTACATATATCAACAAAGTGCACCACTTTTTTTCGGTGGCTCAATTATAGGACCGTCATGGTTAATTTGTTTTGCTATGAGCAATTTTATGTTGAGTATGTTGAGTGACTTCGTAGAAAACAAAACATACTCAAAGGATTTGTGTTAGTCTTGTATTTACTCTCAAAAATAAAGAATAAGTAACGTGTCCAATACAGGGATAGGTCGTTGCATTGATACTCATAATAAATTCTCATTTAAAAATGTAAAATTAAACATTAAAATAGTTATACGAACTGTCACTTTTATAATAAAATACTTACAAATAAACTATTTTCACTAAAATCACTCTCAAATAAATTATTTTCATTAAAATCACTCCCCAACAAATACAGTATTAAATCTCTATCATTTTCTCAATTAATATATTAATATTGATATTGATATTTTAAAGTCAAAATTTATTATAAACTTGAAAACTTGAGAGCATTTAGGTATGTAACTCAACAGCCTACATTTTTGGAGGGTTAATTTGACTTCTATTTGTTCAACATTTATTATAACTTTGACAATTTTGCATGACACATCTATTTTTTATTATTATTATTATTCTAATATTATAAGATTTTTATAAAAATATGTTGGTTAAGAAAGGCGATAATTATTGCTTATATTAATAATGTATTTTTTTTGTTTTATACAAGAAAAGTATATAATAACAATAAATGACTAAAATAAAACGGGTATTTAATTTGAAAAGTATAGGATTCAAATATTAATTATTTTATTTTTAATCAAAAAAATATAAATGTTATAATTTATTGAACGTTGAATGTCATTTATATTTTTGATTCACGATTTATAAATTTATTTATTAACTATGTCCATGCTTTAATTATAAATATATAATTTAATTTTCTATATATATATATATATATATTATTTATTTAAATATTATTTTGCTCTTTAAATTTTTTATTTCAATTTATTTTAAAATCTATGAAACAGAAAATGCCAAAAATTAAAAGTGAATATTTAAAAAATTGCTTGACAACGATTCTATTTTTTAAAATCATTTTGTATAATTCTTATCTAAATTTTTGAGGAAAAAAAAATGTAATTCTTAATTATTTTTTTTTTCAATTTTTAGTTTAGATTTTGATTATATTTTTAAAAAGTAAGAATTCAGTTTCAAAAAATAAGAAATAGAAAATGATTTTGCTTTTAGTATTTTAATTTTGAATTATATATATATATATTAAAAATTATTCAAATTTAAATAATCAAATAAATAAACTTAGAGGTGAAAGTAGCATAGTATTAATTTTTTTAAAAAATGAAATTAAATGATTAACAAATTAGGCTCAAATTAAATAACTTAAGTTGAAGGATTGATTTGAATATTAATTATATTAGTTATTACAATAATTAATATTAGAAGGTCAATACCTACCATTATTATTATTATTATACTAAATTAAACATATTTTTACTAATTTAGCTAATTAAATATTATAAAAGAATGCGTTCACAATGCCAATATGACTATAGCTCAATAATCAATACATCTATTCACTAACTTGAACATAGCTCAACTAGTCATGAATCGTGATCGAGGAAAAATATTCTCTTTTCTCGAGATTTAAACGTTCAAATCTCCACCACCTTCCGAACATATCTACGTTTTTTAGTTCTTAGAAAAAGTAGTGAATGTTTCATCATTTGAAATATGCTTAAATTGGTAACATAAATTTCATCTTTCGTTATCATTTGACTCGTAATCGTATTTTCCGTCGTCTATCGAGTCTATTAGCACGGAAATTTCAAACATTAATCCAATGATTTTTCTATATCCACTTCAAAATTAATTACTTGGCCCTTTTTTTTCTCTCTCTTTTGCTAAATTATTGACTAAAATATTCAAACTTTGTGTGACATTAAATGCAAATGGAAAATAAGGAAGTAAAAGAGGGTGGCTTGAAGAAGCAACAACAATGGCAAATCATGTAATTAAACCCAAGACCAAGGGCAATAATAAATCAAAAACCCTATAAATATACCACCTTTAAATCTCTGTTCTTTTCGGACAGTTCCAAAGACCAAAACAACATGAATTCCACTCCCTTCTTTGTCGTTAAAGCTCTCTTCCTCCTTTTCCATCGAATTTTCTCTAAAAAATTCCGGCGAACCGCCACCGCCGGGGTTCACCAGAAATACCAAAAAGACCCATCTCCGGCGAAACTCAGCGGCGGCGACGGAAAAGTTCTAATCTTTACCGTGGAAGAGGCTTTATTAAAACCCTCATCTCCATATTTCTTCTCTTACTTCATGTTGGTGGCTTTTGAAGCCAGTGGGGTAATCCGTGCGACAGCTTTGTTGATGTCGTACCCTTTGATCCGACTTGTCGGCCAAGAAATGGGGTTGAAAATTATGGTGATGATTTCATTTATTGGGGTTAAAAAAGATAACTTTAGAATTGGGTCATCAGTTTTGGGTAAGTTCTTGATGAACGACGTCGGATTGGAGGGTTTTGAGGCAGTAAAAAAAGGGAGGAAGAGAATTGGGTTCAGTAATTTTTTCCCACAAGTCATGATTGAGAGCTTTTTGAGAGATTATTTGGAGGTTGAGGAAGTGGTTGGAAGAGAATTGAAGGCTTTTTGTGGGTATTTTGTGGGTTTGATGGAACCAAAAGTGAAGGCTTCTTCATTATCTCATTTGATTCAAGAACAACAACAAGAACATGAAGAACAAAATGGCAATTTGATTGGGATTTGTGGCTCTCAAATGGGTTATGATTTTCAGCTCCTCTCTTCCATTTGCAATGTAAGTTCTTCCAAAAACCCTAATTTTTAGCTCATTCAGGTTCATAACGATTTCGATTTCGATAATCAATTCAATTTCTTGATAGCTTTATCGTCTTTTTTTTTAAAGATTTAGTACTAGAATAGAAAATTATAGATAGAAACAGTGAGATCCGAAATTGGTTGAAGATGGGAACAAAACATTCCTTACATTGGAATCTCACTGTAAAAATTTAGTAACAACTATATGAACCACAACCAAGGAATTTCCATACCTCAATGTCCAATTACAAGGACGAGAGCCAAGAAGCTACAACAAACCTTATACAGTTATATTCAACCTATGGTGAGCTCATCAAAGCTTGAATATAATTGAATAAGGTTTGTTGTAGCTTCTTAGCTCTCGTCCTTGTAATTAGAACTTGAGGTATGGAAATTCCTTGGTCGTGGTTCATATCAAACAGTGATAATCACTCATCGATGGGAGAGGGAAACGAAACATTTCTTATAAGGGTGTGGAAACCTCTCCTTAACAGACGTGTTTTAATAGCCGTGAGGCTGACAACAATACATAACAAGCCAAAACAGACAATATCTACTAGCAGTGGGTCGATTAAAATAATTTGAATTGTATATTTATGTCTATTTTGATTTGATATATTATTTGAATAATAATTATATTGACTATATAAATCTTTTCAATTATTTTAGATTGAAACTTTTGAGTTATCCTTTTGAGATTTTTTTTTATAAAATAAACAATATTTATTATAAGATATACACATGTATGGACAATATTGAGTTTACGTAGCTAAATAAAGTCAAATAATTAATGGTTTTCTTATCTAAAAATAATTAATGATTTTCTCATAAATTAAATAATTATAAAATTCATATATTAATGTTTTTATTATATAGTTAAGCAATATATCAATAATTACTTTAAAAAATTAAAAATATACCGAGAACATTCCTATAATATTCTAACTGTCCGACAAGAAAATCAAATTACAGTTGATAAATCAAATTAAAACACCCTATCTTGTCTTTAATAGTTTAGATATATATTAACATCTACATGTCTTATCATTAATAATAAACATTTTTAAAAAAATATTATTTCCAAAAAACATGATATATATAATATATTTTCCCCCGTCTTGTCATAAATGTTTAGATATATATCCATATCTCTAAGTCATATCATATATTAAAGAACGTTCCATATCTCTAAGTCATATCATATATTAAAGAACGTTCCATATCTCTAAGTCATATCATATATTAAAGAACGTACCTAAGTTTTTTATGTTGTAAATGAAACCCGAAAATCATTTATAGTAAAAATAGATATTCATTTAATAATATATTTGAAAGAAGTACGGTTGTGGCTTTTTGAATTAATTTAATGTTTAAGATTATTACGACGGACGATGATCTTTGCAAACAGGAAATCTACACTGTGAGTGAAGCTGATAAAAAAAAGTGGAAGACGCTTCCTATAGACAAACTTCCGAAGCCGTTAATCTTTCACGATGGAAGGCTAGCCCTAAACCCAACTCCTTTGGACACTCTTGCCGTTTTGACGTGGCTCCCTTTTGCCCTGGTTCTTGTTTTTATTAGAATCTTTGCTTATATTTGTTTGCCTTATAATTTATGTGTCCCTATTAGTGCTTTTAGTGGGATGCATCTCACTGTTTTGATTCCGGTTGAAAAAATCAAAACCAACGACAATCGAGGGTGTTTATATGTTTGCAACCATAGAACGCTTCTCGACCCTCTCTACATTTCAGCTGCATTGAGAATCAAGAACCCTTTAGCAGTCACCTATAGTCTAAGTCCAGTATCGGAATTCTTCTCACCGATTAGAACTGTTCGATTGACTCGAAATCGTGATCGAGATGCAACCCTAATGAAAAGATTGTTATCAAATGACAATTTGATTATATGTCCTGAAGGAACCACTTGTAGAGAGCCGTATCTTCTAAGGTTTAGTCCATTGTTCTCGGAGATTAGTGAAAGAATAGTCCCGGTAGCAAACGACACACATGTGACTATGTTTTATGGGACGAGTGCAAGTGGGTTTAAGTGCTTTGACCCATTCTTCTTCTTGATGAACCCTTCGCCATCTTACACTATTAAGAAGTTGGGCATGGTTGATGGCTTGTTTGCATCACATGATGATACCAATTCCGCAAAGTTTGATGTGGCCAATTGGGTGCAAAGTGAGATTGGTAAGGCTTTGAAATTTGAGTGCACAAAGCTTACTAGGAGAGATAAGTATTTGATTTTGGCTGGCAATGAAGGGATTGTACATTGACACATACTTCATATCATTAATTATTTGATGTATTTATATTCGATACTTTACAAGTTTATATAGATCAATGTGTATAAGATATGGTATTGATCTTCCCATTATATGATCATTACAGAGAAGAAGATATACGTGATTAATTTATCTATACCGAATTATATTATAATTGATTTTGCATGAAGTAATTATTTCACTCAAATTTAAAATCATACCCAAACAACCACTAAGTACTCTGACCCTTAGGAACCTTTCTTGGCGTCCAATTGAGCCCTAGATATGTTGGATTAGGCTCGAGTGTTGGTTTGACCTAACCCAGTTCCACTTTGAGTTTGCATCCATCTCGAGCCTTTTTTTTTTTTTTTTTTTTTTTTTAGTATTGCGATTGAGACCTCGTGAACGGCGGTCGTAACTATAACGGTCTTAAAGTAGCGAAATCTTTTATTGGGTAAGCTCCGACTTGCACGAAAGGCCTGACGATTTCCACTATGTCCAAATTCACCCTATGACAATAGTTTGAAATTTTCTAGAAATGGGATCCGATTGGATCCGTTCCCCTTTATTGGGCCGTGTTAGACCACATATAAATTGGGCCGTGTTAGACCACAGTAAATTGGGCCGTGTTAGACCACATGTAAATTGGGCCGTGTTAGACTACATATAAATTGGGCCGTGCTAGACACATATAAACTGGGCCGTATTAGACCACATATAAATTGGGCCGTGAATTGGGCCGTGTTAGACACATATAAATTGGGCCGTGTTAGACTACATATAAATTGGGCCGTGTTAGACCATATACAAATTGGGCCGTGTTAGACCACATATAAATTGGGTCGTGTTAGACCACATATAAATTGGGCCGTATTAGATCTCGTATAAATTGGGCCGTGTTTGACCACATACAAATTGGGCCAGGCGCAAAGCAATTTAAGGGGTCAAAAGTCCTGTCGGCGTAATTAAAATGCTTAAAGTGGCATTCGAGGAATTAATAAGAAATTGGGGACTGATTGTGAAATTCTGGAAGTTCTATATAATATAACGAAGGCCACTTCATTCTCTCCCTTCTTCCCTCGAATTAGGGTTTCGGAATTTTGCAGTTCCAGAACCAGGCCCCTTCAATCGCTCTTCCGATAAAGCAAGTTTTGGCCGGGACCTGTCTTGCGGTTGAGGTAGAATACAGCTCTTTTCTTCGGCTATTTCCGTATCTCTGTGCCGGCAAGGGTTTTGATGGGTGCGGAGAGGAAGAGGAAGGTTAGTTTATTTGATGTGGTGGATGACACCTCTGTCTCCCCGAAGATTCACAAATCGAACGGTGGAGGAGCGGCGTTGAACAATGGCGGTGGCAATGCGGGCAATAGTCTGATCAACCGGTGGACTGGGAGGCAGTACTCGCAGAGGTACTTTGAGATTTTGGAGAAGAGGAAGACTCTGCCTGTTTGGCATCAGAAAGAGGAGTTTTTCCAGGCTTTAAAGAGCAGTCAGACTCTCATATTGGTTGGTGAAACTGGTAGTGGTAAAACTACTCAGGTTAGTTGGGGAAAGCGTTCTAATGTTTGATGTGTTGATGATTGTATGTTTTCGAGACTGCAAGTAACTTCAGAATTATTTGTAACTTCCCCTTCTGTCTTGGACGCAGGCTTTTTGTTTTTTCATTAACTTCCATTCAGGCTGTTAGTTTTTTCTTCGACTTCTATTCTAATTTTTTTTTTTTTTTTTTTTTTTTTTTTTGTTTATTGTGATTCTTTAGATTCTGTACTGTGTTTTTCGAGCCAATGTCAGGCTTTATTGGGGGTGCTTTGGTTAGAAGGACCTTTGCTCTTTAGTTTGATTGTGGGGTAATGCGTTCTTGGGAAGGATTTACATACTTCATCAGTCTAGGCCAAAAATATACCTAATGATGTAAACTTAGAATTTGTGGTTTTGCTTTTTCTTGTTTAAATGCTCGGATAATATCCTAATTTGACCCTGAACTTTCATTTTAACCTGTTTTAGCTCTTAATTTGCGAGTATTCTTTTTGCTCTAGAATAATTGGCCTTGCCCTTCCTTGAGAAGGGAACAAACTACGGGACGACTTCGAATATTACTTAAAAACATTTTATCTAGTTACCGTCGTTTAATTTCTTTAATATCTTTAAGAATAATCTAGCTGGGTACCGACTAAATTTATATGTGAGCCACATATGTTGAGTATGGTATGCGAGTTGGTTAAGATATATGATTGCTGCAGTATGGAAAGTTCCCTGATTTCTTAAGCTCTTAGATCGCATCAGAATGGGGCCAAGCGGCTATTGGGGTTTATTTTTTTTTTTAATTTTTTATTATTATTTTAATTGGGTTTAGAAGGTACTACTAGTAGTAATTTTTGGTTATGAAATTCTTGGTTCGTGATTTTTATTTTGGTTGCGGTGTTATACATGAAAATTTTTAACTTGATTTTGGAAATCTGGACATGGAGTCTCTAGACAACTTTTTTGCTTTTTAGTTAAGCTCTGTCTTATTGGTATTTTGTTTGAGATATTCTTGTTGTTCTGATGTCCATTGTGGTGATTATGCCTGTTACAGATTCCTCAATTTGTTTTAGAAGCCGTTGACCTGGATAGTCCAGATAAACGTAAGAAGATGATGGTTGCATGCACTCAGCCTCGTAGGGTGGCAGCAATGTCAGTTTCTAGACGTGTTGCTGAAGAGATGGATGTGACTATTGGAGAAGAGGTGGGTTACAGCATCCGTTTTGAAGACTGCAGTAGCGCCAGAACAGTTTTGAAGTAAGCTCATTCTTCTTTGTACCTACTCATCGGTTTTATTGCTATCTTTTCCTTTAATGATTTGAAATTTTATTCTTTACGTGATTGTGAAAGTGTTGTACTTTTTATGGGTGGCAGGTATCTGACTGATGGTATGCTTTTAAGAGAAGCAATGACAGATCCTCTTTTAGAAAGGTATAAGGTAATTATTCTTGATGAGGCTCATGAAAGAACATTAGCAACGGATGTTCTTTTTGGACTTTTGAAAGAAGTTTTGAAAAATAGGCCTGACCTAAAGCTGGTGGTCATGAGTGCTACACTTGAGGCTGAAAAGTTCCAGGGTTATTTTAATGGTGCTCCACTTATGAAAGTTCCTGGTAGGCTTCATCCAGTGGAAATATTTTACACACAGGAACCTGAAAGGGACTATCTTGAAGCTGCTATTCGGACAGTTGTACAGATTCACTTGTGTGAACCTATAGGTGATATACTTGTTTTTCTCACTGGTGAGGAGGAAATTGAAGATGCATGTCGCAAAATAAATAAAGAAATTTCAAACCTTGGCGACCAGGTTGGGCCTGTGAAAGTGGTGCCTTTATATTCTACTCTTCCTCCAGCTATGCAGCAGAAGATCTTCGAACCTGCTCCACCTCCAGTAAAAGAGGATGGACCTCCTGGAAGAAAGATTGTGGTTTCCACAAACATTGCAGAGACTTCATTGACCATAGATGGCATTGTCTATGTTATCGACCCTGGCTTCTCAAAACAGAAAGTTTATAACCCTCGAGTACGTGTGGAATCATTACTGGTATCTCCTATATCAAAGGCCAGCGCACATCAGAGATCTGGTCGTGCTGGAAGAACTCAGCCTGGAAAATGTTTTAGACTTTACACGGAAAGGAGTTTCCAAAATGATTTGCAGCCACAGACATATCCTGAAATTTTGAGATCAAACCTTGCAAATACTGTTCTTACCTTGAAGAAATTGGGCATTGATGACCTTGTGCATTTTGATTTTATGGATCCACCTGCTCCTGAGACTTTGATGCGAGCTTTAGAAGTTCTGAATTATTTGGGTGCATTGGATGATGAGGGTAACCTAACGAAGCTCGGGGAAATAATGAGTGAATTTCCATTAGATCCTCAGATGTCAAAGATGCTCGTTGTTAGTCCAGAATTCAAATGTTCAAATGAAATATTATCAATTTCTGCCATGCTTTCAGGTACTTCAGCCCTCTCTTTTGCAATTTTCTAAGTTTCCCATTTCTTTTGAGTTCTATATAGTGTGTGTACGTCAGATTCCCATGGTTGTTAAACAATGGGCAGGATGCATCAAATTTGATGCATTTTTATTGGCGTGGCATGTTTGCAGTATATCTGTCATGTCTTCTAACTAGTAGTTGTTAGAGCACAATTCTGTCAAGCTAGGTTGTCATCAGCAACTATCTTCTCTGGTTCCATGCCCTCAGATGGCATGCACCATAAGATTTCTCAGTCAGTGCTGATGTAGTTAGTTGCAGTTTCTCAGTATTATCTCATGAAGCAAATGGTCTCGTCTTGCATCTATGCATCTGCTGACCTTCCCTGGGCCTCCTGTGTGTGATTACCAATTTCTTTCTTAGTACCCAATTGCTTTGTCCGGCCTAGGGAGGCTCAAAAGGCTGCTGACGAAGCAAAAGCTAGGTTTGGCCACATTGATGGAGATCATCTAACGCTCTTGAACGTGTACCACGCTTACAAGCAAAACAGTAAGTATTTATGGTCTTCACTTTGACCTTTTCAATTAATTACATTCAATTTTGATGGGTTCCTAAAGCAACTATTATGTAACAGATGAGGATCAATCATGGTGCTACGAAAACTTCATCAATCACAGGGCAATGAAGTCTGCAGATAATGTCAGAGAGCAACTAGTCCGCATCATGGCTAGGTTTAACCTCAAATTATGCAGCACAGATTTCAACAGCCGTGAATACTACGTAAACATAAGAAAGGCAATGCTTTCTGGGTATTTCATGCAAGTAGCTCATCTGGAGCGGACTGGACACTACTTGACAGTGAAGGACAACCAGGTATGGATTCTTTTCTTGATGTACCAGATCATGGTAAACCCTGCACTTTCAATGCCTGTATTTGGGATTAACAAATCTGTTCTACAGGTGGTACACTTGCATCCATCAAATTGCTTGGACCATAAACCAGAGTGGGTCATTTATAATGAGTACGTCCTAACGAGTAGGAATTTCATCCGTACCGTGACGGATATCCGGGGTGAATGGTTAGTCTCTCTTGCTGTAATGTTCAATGCTTGTACCCAGAAGCAAGTTTATTTGTATATACTTTTTGTCTGGTCTTATGCATTAGATCTTAAGTATTACTTGCAAGTTGATCCTTGCTACACATGATGCAAGGATGTTCTTTTTTCAAACTAAAAATCTTGTACTAATAACTGAGTTGATAGCAACAACGTTGATCTATTCTTCCTGTTCTTGTCACAACAGGCTGGTGGACGTAGCAGCACACTATTACGATCTGGCGAACTTCCCTCTATGCGAGGCCAAGCGTGTTCTCGAAAAGCTTTACAAGAAACGAGAAAAGGATCGTGAGGAAAGCAGGAATAGAAAATGAGTTTTTTTGTTTAAACCCATTCTATCGTCTGAGATTCCGACTTAGCATTTCGTCCATGGCAGATAACTATCAGCTGAGGAGCTGAAGAAATTGGTTGTACTTCTATACTGTTAAATTAGGAAGGCAGTGTTTTAGGGTTCATATAGTCCCAAAACAACATACTTGTTAGGTTTTGATTTTCAAACTCAGTGGTTTCTGATTGCTTTTGTGTTATTTTAATGTATGAAATCTAAGAAGTTCCAAGTCTACTCACGCTTCAACGCTTCAGCACAAACTTTTCATGAATGTGCATATGTTGTGATAAAAGCATTGTACAGCACATACCTGTATACATACTAATCTTCCAAGATTTCGTACCAAGCAGAAACTAAATGTTAGCTAGTAGTTATTATGGTATTGAAGATCAAGTAAATTATAACCTTTTAGCTTAGTAGTTATTATGCTATTGATGATCACGTAAACTATAACTTTTTAATTAACGTAGGAAGATTTTTGGATATCGAGTTTGTTCGGTTACATTTTTTGTGTTTAGATTTGCATGTTGTAGTCATGAGGTGATCGAATCACGTTTAGAAATTATCTATTTCACAACTTTTTCCTAGATTATTGATTTTTTATTATAAAAAGAAAAAAGAAAAAAGAAAAAAAAAAGGACAAGTATAAAACTTGGATCGGCGGACGTAGAACAAGTTCGTCGTCATCGGCTAGATTCCTTTTCATTTCTTCTTCCTCAATGGCGTCTTTAACTATCTCCGGCCTCCTCAAAACCCCTCTTTATTATTCCCAAGCTCTTGCAAATCACCGCCAGTACCCACCTTCTGCTTTTGGGCAACATCAAATACCCGTTTCCCTGAATAGGGTGTTGCCCAGACAAGCCATTAGAGCTTCCGCTTCGAGTTCTGGTCCATCCACGAGCTCCTCGCCAGGGCTGTACTCCGCCCAGAAATTTGAACTGACCACTGCAAACGTAGACTTGGTTCTTGAGGACGTTAGGCCCTATCTAATCGCAGATGGAGGAAATGTCGATGTCGTGTCCGTTGAAGATGGAATCGTTTCTCTCAAACTCGTTGGTGGGTGAATTCCTGATCTCATTTCATTGAATGGGTTTGTTTTAATCTTGTTTGTTAATTTAGCTTTGTGTGTTGAAATTTTTGTAATTGAATGATTGATTGCTATTGCTTATGTGCGCGAAATGTTGATGAACAATCGAATAGGTTAGGGAGTTTATGCCTCAGAAAATTCTAAATTCTTCATTTGGGCGTTTCTTAGACCAAGACTTATAGGATCCCCAGAAGTTGAAAACATCAAAGAACTCTTAGTTCCATGGCCTTGGTACTTAGAAGCTCAAACACCACTTCATGAAGATACTGTATCCTTTTACCGTCCAGGTTCTCAATTCTTATATGTTTAGGTTTTGATCATATCTTTTGCTCTCTGCCCCATTGCCTAGAGTTTTCAGGAGAGTTTTTTTTGGGAGATCATATTTGATCATATTCCATAGTCCCACCATCTCCCCGGTACAATTTGGCTCAGCTCGTAACATCCAAACCCACCGCTAACAGATATTGTCCACTTTGGTACGTTATGTATCGCTGTCAGCCTCATGGAGTTAAAACGCGTCTATTAGAGAGAGGTTTCCACACCCTTATAAGGAGTGCTTCGTTCCCTCTCCAACCGATGTGGGATCTCACAATCCACCCCCCCTTGGGGGCCTACGTCCTCGCTAGTACACTACTCGGTGTTTGGCTCTTATACCATTTGTAACAGTCCAAGCCCACCGCTAACCAATATTGTCTACTTTGGCTTGTTACGTATCGTTGTCAGTCTCAAAGTTTTAAAACGTGTCTGCTAGGGAGAGGTTTTCACGTCCTTATGAAAAATGTTTCGTTCCTCTCTCTAACCGATGTGGGATCTCATGCCGCTAGTTTAAAACTTTTCCTTATTGACTAGTTGGAGAGAATTTATTTTGTTATCTCGGTCCAGGTCAGGTTCGGACCTCTCTGCCTCTACACGTGCCTAGTGAGTTTATCTGTTTCATCTTCTGTAGGGGAAAACGACTCCTTGAAGTAGGTGGGCAAAAGGTAGTGAGCATGTAATCCTCACTATCTTGTTAGACATCTTGCAGCAGATACCTGCGTTTATCATTAAGTTTTGAGCTTAGATTCCATTTGGTCCATAAGCTTCAAGATTTTACACTTGTTTTTTAACCGAAGACTTAGCAAGAATCAAATCGATCCTCAGGAGCATGCGGTAGCTGCCCGAGCTCAACAACCACCATGAAGATGGGAATCGAACGAGTACTGAAGGAAAAGTTTGGAGATTCAGTGAAGGAAATATGCCAAGTATATGATGAAGAGCCAAAGGAAATAACAACCGAGGTGAGTTTTCTCTGGACGAACGAACGAACGAATACAAAAGAACTCGAACATGTTTCGATGTTATGTTAAATTCAAACAAAAACAGAGAGGTGAATTAGTATTAACGTTGGATGTTGCATCAATGCAGGCAGTAAATAGTCATCTTGACATATTGAGGCCAGCCATAAGGAACTATGGCGGGAGCGTGGAAGTAATATCGATCGATGGTGGCAATTGCGTCGTTAAGTACGAGGGTCCTGAATCTATTGGTACAGGAATTAAAGCAGCCATTAAGGAGAAGTTCCCAGATATTACAAACGTTGTGTTTTCAAGCTAGCCTTTTCTCAAGTTCATTTAGCTGCTGCACTTAATGAACAGGTGCTGCTCCTCTTTCCAGAATACCCATGTAAAGTTCTATTGTTCAATAAATGATACATCACTATAGCTTATGCCCAAAAAGAAACTGTATCCACGGCTAGCCGATATCGTCTGTTTTAGCTCATTACGTATTACCGTCAACCTTACGGTTTTAAAACACTGGGAGAGGTTTTCATATCCTTATAAGGAATGTTTCGTTCCCTTCTCTAACTGATGGAAGGATCTCGTAGAAAGTAAACTTTTTTAAAAAGGAAAACTTGGTTCGATGGGAGCCACAACAGGCAGCATACCCGTGCTAGAATAGCAAATTATTATAGAAACTAGACCCATTTGATATTACGTTACTTGTCAACAATAGAAAAGAAAAGAAAATTACATCATGATTCTTTTAGGTTGAAGAACAAAAACTAATACACAAAATGAAAGTAGTGTATAAAAAGGAGTTAATCTTCCTCGTTTCTGGCTAGATTTACATGCAACACACCATCATATAAGAACTATCCTGCTAACTCTGCCAACAAAAGAAAGACCAAACTAGCTAGTAGATGTAAGAAAACCAGAGCTTTGCTGTCGTGATGAAGATAAATGAACTAAACAGACAGTTGTTAACCCGATTGCACAGACGACCATGAAAATCGAGTCTCTTAACCAGTATCAACGTTCATCACAACATCCTTACTCAATCAGAAACTGATGCTCCAAAAGGGCATCATGGAAAGCTGCCTGCTCCAGCATTAGCCTTTTAGATGCATACCACTGTAATTAACATTGTTAGATGATGGAACCATATGACAGCCACCATAGATTTACATTTATGAAATACCATTAATATCTCAATTCAACCATATGTGCGAGATTTCTTACGCACCTGGAGGATCACAGATCGGATCCCTTCTGTTTTCTTGGCCTTTTATTAGATTGAGCTGGTGATGATGGAGCTTCAGATAATCTTCCAGTGGCCTAACAATGATCGGTAAGAAAAATGAGACGCAAAACAAGATACAGAGTGGTAACACCTAAAGAGTTCCAAGATAAATAGTCGACAAACATACCTTTCGTTTTTGATCTCGTTTAACAAACCTTTCCCCTAGCAGAAGACAAATATACATGTAAATGAACTTCCAGAACAGAAAAAGAGATGGTGCAGTAAGGCCAAATATATAAGTTCTATTAGAGAATCCATTTACCTCCAAAACTCATAGAATCAGCAATAAAAGCGCGTTCCTACACCCAGAGCATGAAATGAATGCTGTTAGCAGAGGAAGAGTCACACAGATATGGGAAATTATGGTGCTCGTGAGTACATTTACCGACCTTGGGTGTGCCAGGTGCCTCGCTGTATGGACTCTCACGGAAAGAAGAACCTTCTGCCTCCTTATTTTGCAACTGTTCGAAAGAAACAGGAATGACAACAAATTTAGAACTAAACTACGTTGAAAGGGATATGGCATTTGACACAAGCATATTCCATCAACAAGGTTTTCCTTCATTGAGAATTCTCTCTGAATGAGAGGAAAAAAATGATTGAATCCACTGTTTATGAGTGGTACGTTAATGCAAGTTTAAAGCGCATAAATCTGGTGGGACATTCATATGAAAAAAGAAAACAATACCTGCTTTTGAAGATTCAGCAGTGTCAATATTTCTTTTCTTAATTCAAGATGCTCTGCACACACGGCTTTTGTTGGAACCCTGGGTTTTAGATTAACCTATTTACAAATTTAAAAAAGAAAAAAGAGAAAGGAAAGATCCTCTTGTGAGTGAACTATACAACTATTGTAACTCTAGAACATGAAGAACACTCGGGGAAGGCAAGGATTACTGAAGAAAGTCCAACAGATTTTTTCTGTTTTTTTCTTTCTTCTAATGAGCTGCTATGAAATCGATACCAGTATTAAGTCCTCCACAACTCACCGCCTTATAAGAAAACAAGTATTTGGATTTAACGAAAAAACGAGAATGTTAACCAACCGAAAGATCTTGTAGGGTCTGTTCGACTCGTTTGATAGTCCTAAGGCCGGCAGATGAGCTTGCAGCATGTACCATTTGCTCAAGTGCATATGTTCTCAAGTATACAGGAAGCTGAAACGTAGGAATCAGTCATCAGAACACATTCTCAAATTTCATATTTTGGTATATAGATCAATTAAGCTTTGGGAGAAAAATCGATCACAAAAGCTATTGCAACGAAGCTATAAAAGGCGTCTAAATATGATCCCTTTGGACCGTATACCATGCGAAGAGAAGCTAGAGTAGAAGCGTTATCTGCTACTACAGTTGAAGGTACAGCTGCTGGAGGTGGAGGCTGCACATTGGATACAGATGGTACCGACTCTCCAGGAACAACGGCCCTTTCGGTAACTTCTGGGACAGCATTTGAAGTGACAGCCAACTTAGATTCTTCAGCCACCTAAAATGAATATAACCAAGATCGTAAACCAGCTCTAGATATAATACTTCAATGAACTAGTTATCCGTACAATACGGCATTCGTATTACTAACGTTTTTATGGCACGATAACTTAAAGCCTAGAGGCTAATAATGAAATTTCTTTCAACTATGAAATCCTGCAATGCTAATGCCAAGCCTAAAAAGAAATTCAAATAGAACATGAACTCACTCTTTCAGCTTTGCGTGATTCGATTATTTTTTTTGCTTCAGCAAGAACCTGCCACAATAAATAGTGTGTATATATATATATAAGGACTTAGACTTAACTGTATGTAATATACACTAAAACATAAGAGAATCGAGACCTCTGCATCTTTTCGTTCGTTCTGTTTTGTTTGAGAGAGAACCATGGACAATGCCCGTTTGCGGTCGATCTCTTGTGAGACGTTGAAAGGATCCTAAATATAAAGAATAAATAAGAAAATCGAACAGAACGTTAATTTGCTAAGCAGCTTCAACTAGGTAGCTTCATTGATTCAAAGACTACCGACCTTGGCAGGAGTATTCCCCAAACCCTCCCGAGATGTTGGTCCTCTAGCACCCAAAATTGCTTTTGATGCTATAAACATACAATATTATAGTATAAGTTTTCAATAATCACAAGTTCATTTGTAAATGATCCAAAACAGAGTGTATTACAAAACCAACAACATAAATTGGCAGCCTAAGAGAAAACATGAAGTGCTTGCAAAAATAGACCAAAAATAGTTGTATCTACCATGATAATATCGCTCCTTCAGTTCCTCCACTGTCCTTGTTGATGGAAACCTGTCGGCTATCACAACAAAGCGAAGATCGAACCTTTCGCACAAGTCGAATAATTGATCTGTCTCCTCCTTTGTCCATGACTGAAAATATTTTAAAAGGAACATATCTCAACCACAAAACAAAAGACAGCATTAAGAACTTTGGTACATAATGCAAGACAGAAGAGCAATTCTTGAATCTAAAACAGAAGTGCAATAGTGAACATCAAATCATGTCCACACACACACACAGGAAACACTTCATCCTTCAAGCTTTACCGTAAACTTCAAATAAAGACGGAACATATGGTGACACGGTAGAAGCGAAGGATAAGTTGTTACATAGAATATAAACACTAAAGCAACGATAGTGTTGCAACTTATAATCCATAGCTGAAAGCCTAAAGAACCTCAAAGGCAAAAGAGTTTCAAAAAGAAGCTTCAAGGCATAAGCCATAATACCATAAAACAATTCTACATATCGTGAAATTTCGTGTTTGTGGGTGTGTGAGTGAGAAAGAGAGAGAGAGAGCTCTCTTTGCTCTTCGTGCTCTTCATTAAAAATGCGAAAAATATACCCACAGGGTCTTTTAAAAACTTCTCGTACTCCTCATCTGTGTATTTGACAACTTCAACAGACTGCAACACATTCAAAGAAGAAAATATGTTTTATGAATAATCTGTAACATAGATAATGGTGTTCAATTATTGAATAAATGATTACATTATATTATGTTGGAATCACACACAACGAACGGATGTCAATGGGCATATCGAACTTTCCATTTTCACGTAAGCATGAAAAACATTTTAAAACTTCAAATTTCGACTTAATAGAATACGAGACAGTAAATCTACAAATAAAGAGAAGATCTTGGCATTACCTTGTTGTACTTTGCAAAGGAATAGTCACCTGTTGGTGGAATGCCATTTACAACTCGAACCTACAAATGAAAACATTGGAAGAATGGAGAGAAAAGTGACTTTGACTTCGAACAATAACAAAACTCAATTGGATATCCGACGCTTTATAGAGGTGCCAAAAAGCCTACCCAGTGGTAAAGCTGCAAATTATCCTTTCTCGCAGAGTTTGAAAAAGGAAGCCATTGCCATGTAATCTGAAGGAAAATCACAGGACCATTATAAGAACAAACTAAATTCATGAGCGAGTATGTAAGGGCAATACGAAAACAATAACTCTACAAGGAATCAAACCAAACCAAACGGATAATTACAAGAAATCCAAGGAGCAGAATCCCACAACGAGGTGTTTAATCTAATATTATCCCACACCTCAACCCAAGACCACTCGACGCCTCTGAATAATCTAATATTTCTATCGAGCCAAGCACTCGATGCAACAAACTTGCCAAGAAAACGCTGCCCTTATCCCAAAAGGGGCATCAGTAGCTACTCTAGCATGGAGCAACAGTCTTTGTTTTGCTCCAAACGTAACCTGAACAACCTGAGACCACTTGACACCTCTAAATACTCCAATATTTCTGTCGAGCCAAGCACTCGATGCAACAGCAGAGCAACAAACTTGCCAAGAAAACGCTGCCCTTATCCCAAAAGGGGCATCAGTAGCTACTCTAGCATGGAGCAACAGTCTTTGTTTTGCTCCAAATGTAACCTGAACAACCTGAGACCACTTGACACCTCTAAATACTCCAATATTTCTATCGAGCCAAGCACTCGATGCAACAGCAAAGCAACAAAGTTGCCAAAAAAAAAACCCTGCCCTTAACTCAAAAGGGGCACCAGAACCTCCTCTAGCATGGAGCAACCGTGTTTGTTTCGCTCCAAACGTAACCTGAACAACTCTAAGACTCAATCCCATCTGAATTCATCGATTGCACGAGAGTTCTATACTTTTAAACTCATACCACGTAAGATACTCGATTATTAGCCAAGCACTCAAGTAACATTGATTCAA